CTCAAGGTGCAGGGCTCCCACGCCTCGGCCTCAGAAGTCTGGGCAGTTCGGTTCGCAGACACCTCATGCTTGTGCTTGGAATGTCTGGCAGCCTGACAGCTAGTATGGAAAGCAGCAGCCAGAGTCCAAGCAGGCAATGGACCCCTTGTCGCATTTGCTTTTGTTGGGGCTTAACATATCAAAGAAAGTGATCCGAGCAGGTTTGCCTGCTCCGCTCGTCAGTGAACATGTACTGGTTCTATTTTGTTACACGCACCGCCAGATCTCCACGCTGGTGCGAGCCCCCATTGGTCTGGACGAGGAGGCGCTATGTGTAGCCATGCCCTGGACGAATTGCCCTTTGGGCGTGCTCAGGCTCTCAGAATTGCGCAAGAGTCTTCCCTTGCCATTTTTGTTGACCCACGGCTCCCAGCTAGGTTGCTTTTGCAAGCAAGGCAAAAGCACACAGTCACCGTAGCTGGCAGGCCTTGCGGGAGTACCTGATCGCGCACAAGCTTGGCGCCCCAGAGCTACGAAGCCTTTGCTCTATTTGCTGCTGTCGACGATGTCCACAGTCTAGCTTGGTAATACTTGTTTTTTCACCACAGACAATGGACACATCACGTGTGACACAACCTTGACATGCCCCGCAATCGTGTCCGCAGCATCGACATCAAGAAGTTTGGCAAGGACGGTACCAAGCTGCCGCCTCAGCTTTGCGGCAATGCTCCCGGCCCCCCCTCCCCGCGTCCCCTGCGGGCCATCGGGACATGCGATGCCGAATTCTGGCGTGGAAGGTCACTAAAAGAGTTCTCTTCGGAGCTCATCAAGGGTGAGACGCGGCTGCTGCAGGTGTGGCGCCGGGCGGGTTTCCCGGAAAAGCGACGCATTCCCCCTTGTATCAAATCCCTGCACGGAGTTGTGATCACGCAGCGTATGTGCCAGTCTCGCTGCACATGCGTTGCAAACGGATTCCAGCATGCTTTCTCTTACTGTTGTGTGTGCGTGTCCGCCTCGCGCGCGCGCATGTTATTGCATGTTTCACTTTGGCACAGCATCGGCTAATTGACTAAGCAGTTCAACATCAGGTGATTTGGATTGGTGTCTGGAATGGGGCATTGTTGCAGATTTAGTCTTGACCTCATTGCCTTTTCGCTTGTATTGACACTTATGAGCAGTCCCGATCATGAAGAGCAACCTGATCTAATTACAGATCACTTACTGCATGTGAAGAGTGAAAGTTCTATTCTCTGGCTTGTGCTTTGTTGTCAAGGCTGCTCAGGTATGGAATGCTGATGGGAGGGTTGCTTGTTGCTTGTTAAGGACTGCGGCCGCTTGCAGTGATGGAGCGTAGCAGGTACACCCAGCAAATAGCACGCTAGGCTCACCGTGCCATGTGGCACGAGAACTTGAGCAGAGACTGTTCCCCCCCCCCGGTGGAAATTACACTTCAAACGTGGGTTGATGGCCCCAGCCCAGAAAAGGTCGAGGGACGCCCCACTTTAGCCGCTTCAAGCTCACAGCGACGGAGAGCGCAGGTGGAGAGCGAGATTTTGGTCATTACGGAGGCGGGCATACCGTCGGTGCGTGTGAGATCTTGTGCCGTTGGTGGTGCAGGTTGTGATGCTCATCCTGCGCAACGCGGAGAACAAGGAGATCTTGGTGCAAACTGCGCAGGCGCTGCCTTGAAGTGGGTGCATGGCTGCGCGAGGGGGGGGTGGCATTCATGACCTTTTCTAATGTGGCTACACAAATTCTCCTGCGGAATCGGGACAACACCCTCCAGAATGGCTGATGGATCTGCGCAACAAGGTGTCCACCAAAGCTTTGGTTTCCTTTTAAAGTTTCTTGACTCTTGACCATTTCAACCTCTGTCCCAGTCTGAGGTCTGGCCAGATGGAAAGACAAGCCATCAGGCGCGCATCCCAGGCGCCAAGCGCCGTAGGGAGCCTCAGAACAGCTCGATTTGGATTCACCCTAGCCAGGGATGTGTCAAGAACTCGGACCTTTTCTGGGTCGACGTTTGGAGCCATTTGAGATCTTGGCCCATTCCAAAAATGATAAAGAAGAAGCTGCCAGCTATAGGGTTGGGGCAGGGCTTTGCACCCATTGAACATGGCCCGGTGAGTTCTACGTGCGTGTTGTTTTCTCACACGAGTCGTGTGTGGCTTAAGGTCCGGACGAGAACCAGTTCCTTTGCGCCAGGCGCATCCTGAAGAGGCTGGCCACAAGTCCACAATCGAAACCCGAGGTGAAGAGTAGGGACGCTCCCAGAGAGAGCTTGGGCGACCACTTTAGAAGGTCAAGCGCACATTTCGGCCAAACCGGCGAGGCAGCTCGAGATTGATGAGAATGCTGCTGGGCTGGCCTGTTTGCCGCCACGAGTTTCTTCTTCCTTTTTTTTTTGTGGGGCGGGGGGGGGCCATGCACAACCGCCAGGTGCGCATCTCCCAAGAAGTGGGCTACATCGAGGAGGATCGCAGTTCCAAAGGCCGAAGCCAAAGGGGCCATGTAGATTGACCCGTCCACTTGCCCCAGCGATGAGGAGTACTTGTTCACATGTTTACGCATGTTGTTTTTTATAGAGGGGGGTGGGGGAGTCTTCATGTCGCGGATCCAGCGATTCGACCGAGTGCATCTTATAAATCCCGGGACCCATCTTAGCTGTTGCCTGCTCTCGTACCACTTTCTGTTTGGTGGTTTTGAGCAAATCGCACAAGTTGAAAAAGAAGCTACAGCTTGTCCAATTGCCCCATGCCCCCCCGAACTTGCAGCCTGGGGCTCTCTGGGTTTTGCTGCGCACCGCGGTATGGCCCGAGGCTATCCTGGGCTGAAGACGGTCCGGGGCCTGGCACGCTTCAAAAATTTGATAGGCACATGGGGGTCTCTCTTTTTTTTTTTAAAGTTCCAACGTCCAACGTGTGGGTTGTGAGCTATTCATCTCATGTAACCTCCAGGACCATAGCTTCCCTGGGCTTCCCTACGGCCTTGGAAGCCCCATTTAAACCCCCCCCCCCCCGTTGCACCCAACCCATCGGCAGCTCCACAAACCGATCGAAGGTCTACAGGAAGCGGATCATCAAGGGCGAGGTCATCCCCGGTGGGGCGCTATGGTCCAAAGGTCTGCACTGCCACATGTGGAGATTTGAGCCGCTCAAGAGTCAACGCGGACATTTTTTTTTTGGCCCCTCTCCATGCGCTCGGCCGTTTTGAGATCTGATCATAGGTTCTCGCAATTGTCGTCAATACTTTTGCATGTCGCGGGCAACCTTGTTTTGTCACTTTCGCGTTGCTGAGATGCTTGAGATGCTGGACGCGCGGTGCAACCCTCGGCAGGGGTTTGCCCTGTGAGCACCTGTCGATTTTCTGTGCGGAGTTCTGCTTGAGAATGCCAGATATCCAGAGTGCTTTCGCCATGACGGCCAAGGGGCGTCCGATTGTGGCGCGTTCCGTGAGTTCCCCGTTGAAGTTGGTCGGGGGAAATTCCATCATTGATACAAACGTGGATGATTTCCTGCTGAGCCCATCCTCCTGGCAGTCGCCCACAGCCAACTCGAGGTCGGCCGATGCGGATTCACGCAGTGAACGGGCGATTTTGACCCTCCCAGGGGTCACAAGGACCCCACGGGGATACCACCTTCAGCACTGATTACTTAATGCCAACACACGTTCAGGGGTTCAGGAGGGTGGGACCTGGCGAGGCAGCAAGGCCGCATTACTGCTGGCAAGGCTGGAGCAGCTGGCCCGCCTGAATACACTGGCTCGGCTCGAGCTGACCATCTGATTGTTCCGGGTGCCTCCAGACTCATCTTCGCGTGATCAGGTTGCTGTCAATGACTTAGTTGCTGGGGGTTTGGGTTGTCACCTGGGGAACAGAGAGAGCGGAGCATGCTGACAAGCATGGTTTCACCATGGAGACGGGCGTCTCCCGCGTTGTCAACCATTCCACCGAGGATCAGAGCTTCATTGGACCGCAAGTTGCGCCAATGATTCAAGAAATCTGGCAGTTCATGCCTTTCCGGTTTCCATCTGCCCCTGTGCGCCGATGGGTGTTTGTCATTTTGTGCGGGTGCAACTTGAGGCGGCAAGGTTTTTTGGTGGAAGGGGTCACTGACGACCCCTTTTTGGGAAGGACAGCCCTGTGGTCAATTCGGAGCGCTGCACTTGCTCCGGAGCCGGCCGAAGCGCGAGGACGAAAAAACTGCTGAGCCAAATATGGCGGTAAAACCGGATGCCAACGAAATGGACATGCAAAGGCCGATTCGCCTTATGGCGGTTGCTTGTGATCCCTTTTGCGAGCCGTGAGCCCCATGAGCGTTGGGTGAATTCACCGTCAAATCTGGCTTTGCGCAGCAAGGCTTCAATAGTGCATCCGACATGCACTCTTTACGTTGCATTTTTGCCTTGGTCATGCAAAGCAGTGCTGTTTGTTTGTCATGGTGCCCAGCGAGTTGACTCACAGCCCACGAGCAATCGCTGACCCAATCAGCAAGGCGAAGCATGAGAAGCAAGTAGGAGCACATTTGCAACCCAAAGAACCAGTGACCTCAGCGACGAGTAGGAGCTGCGGCCGAGGACTGAGTGTGCCTCAGGTTGCAAGTTATGCATGCCAAGGCTTATGCTCAGGTTTATTAATCAGCACGGCACCGCTGGGGTTGTGTGATGCATCTTGGGCCACAGCCATCTGGCCCTCGACACGCTGCATCAGCGTGCATCAGTGGGAGTAGCAAATCATTCAAATCATGCACGAGTTGGCTTGTTTTCTCCAGCAGGCGCTGGCGCAGGCAAGCACTGCGTGTCGTACCCTCCTATTTTTTTGCATAACATCTCAGCCACAGAGTACAACATTTGGGCAACTGGGTCCTTTGGCCATGGGCCGCTAATGGCTGAGAGCCGCTCCAGAAGCCCCAGAAGGCATCCCGAGAGACGTGTGAGGTGCCTCGCTTTGAGCGGGGAGGTCTTGGCAGAAGTTGAGCTCGAGCCGCCAGCTGCAGTCGCCGACTTGAGAGCAGCAGTGCGAGAAAGCACGGACATCGATGTTGGCCAAAGCTTGCGGTTTCTGGTGGGTGCAAGCGAGCTGAAGGACGAGGACAAGGTACCTTCGGAGGTGACTGCGCTCATATCTAGCAAAGACTGGGTGATTACTGGCTGCTCAGACGGGTCAGCAGCAACTTGGGATGCCACCACAGGGGAATATTGCCAGTCACTTTTCGGCCATGATTTGTCCATCATTTCTGTGGCCCTGTCCCCAGATTCGAGTTCTATTGCCACGGCGTCATCTGACTGTACGGTGAGGCTGTGGAGCGTGCGTCGTCAAGCGTGGCGTTTGACTCTGCGAGGGCACCGGAGCTGCGTGCTTTGTGTGAACTTCTCGGGTGACGGGAACTTCCTGGTGTCTGCCTCCAGCGACAAGACGGCGCGGGTGTGGAGCGCCGGCAGCTTTGGCGAGTGCATCTCGGTGCTTCGCGGGCACCGGAAGGATGTGTCTTGGGCCGCGTTCTCCCCGGATGACTCGTGCATCGTCACTGGGTCGGATGACCGGACCGTCGTCCTCTGGGACGCTGCCACCTTGGCGCGTAGGTACACCTTGGCCCACAGCAGGCGCATCAACTGCGTCACCTTCTCTGGCGATGGGGCCCGGCTTGCCATCGCGTGCCGTAGCACCGAGGTGGTGGTGTGGAAGGTGTATGCCATGAGCGAGGTCCAGGAGGAGCATCACCTGCGTCATCCTGCAGACGTTTTTGCCGCCTGCTGGAATCCCAAAGTGCTACACCAACTGGCAGCCGCTGCTGCGGATGGCAGGGTCATCATTTGGGATGCGGCAGCAGGTTGGGGCAGGTTGCTGGGACGTTTATTCCAGCATTCTAAGACCACTGAGTCCTTAAGCTTGAAGGCATTCTTGCTTGGCAAGGACAAGCGCGGGAGGCACAGAACCAACTAATCAGCCAAACGTTCTTCCTGGCCCTGCTGTTTGCGCCTGACTTGCATTTCGGGGCCAGCTCAGCCGACAAACGGCTAGATTCGCACTGTGGATGGACGAACGTTGACAAAACCTGGATGAACTCCCATGGATGCATTTGGATTTTGCAACCATTTTTTTGGAAAAAAAACTGTCGCAGGTGTGCGTGTGGCCTGCCTGGAGGGCCACCGGGGCAAGGTCTTGGGCCTCAACTTCTCCCCCGGCGGCCAACTTTTGGCCACGGCCTCGGCGGATCGCACCGCGAAGCTCTGGAGCTGCGACACCTTCCGACGCCCGGCCCGGATTGCTGGCTGCGGGGCATTGCGGCCTGCAAGTCTCACGGTGCGTTTTTTTTTTGGTTGTTGTTGTTTTTTTTGGGTGGGTGGTGGCGAAAGATGCGCAAGCTTTCTTCCCTGACAGGGTGTGTGGCCAATTTCAGAGGGCCGAAGCTGCTTTTCTCGCCAAGCTGAATGGAAACGACATGGAGTGGCTGGTAGTCGTGGGACTAGGGCGCATGGCAAGCGTTGGGGCCAGAAGCTGCAACGCGGGTATGTGCCAAAATAGGCCAAAGATATAGGGGGCCAAAGATGGTGGGTTTGTTTTTGGTTTCTGTTAAAAGCATGGCGAGAATGATGCCATCAAAACACACAAAACACAAACACAAAACACGCAAACACACAAATCCACAAACCCACAACACTCAAACACAAACACAAGCACCAGAATCAAGCACAAACAAAAAGATTTGGCACAAGCTGAAATGTCGGAGGAGGTTGGGGACCCTTCCGATTTGAACCGAATCGCGGCTCTCAGGATGCGTGCAGACCTTAGAAGGCCATACCAGTGCCGTAAACGCGGTCTGCTTCGCGGCGCCAAAGGTCAGTGCCGCGGAAAAAGGTTTGTGCGCCGTTTTGCATGGCAATCAATGGAGTCAACTGAGGGGACGGGAGGGCAACTGATCCCCTTTGAGATGCTTGGTGCTGGATGTTTGCAAAGAGTTGGGCGAGGCAAGATGCAAGCTGCGTTCTTGTGAATCTCCAGGACGGTCCTCAGCCCCGCTTGGCAAAACGGGGTGCCTCAGTTGCAGCTTGAGGACGGAGCGCTTGCTCCTTTTGCAGCTGGACCGGTTGCAGGGCTTCCGGCTAGTGAGGTTGCTTGGGAGCAACCTCAATCCTTAATCCTCATCCCAGATGGAGGGATCTCATTTTGAACACCCCACGCTGCTTGATGTCTGGAATGCTCCTTTGATCCAAAGCCCAACCGAGTCAGTTGGGCTTTTGCAGGCAAGTGTTTTGCAGGAGCGGCTGCTGTCGCAGGCGTTGGGGGCCTCAGCCTAGGCCAGCTGCCACTCATTCGGCAAACCTAGCTACCGGCTCCATTGCAATCAGAAGGATCATGAAGTTTAAGCAGTTTTTGTTTTCATGAGGGGTGGGGCCAGCCCGTTGCAGGGCAATGGCGCGGCTCTTTTTTGGGGGAGTGCCATGGGCTTGGCCAAGGCCATGTTCTTGGTTTTTCTGCTCGGCGCTCAGACGCATCGATCCGACCCGCGCGATTCCGCAAGTCTGAGCTTCGCGGGCAGACACGAGACTTGCTGTACGAGGCGTACGCTGGTTTTGTTGTGGCCACGGAGCAGTTGATTAGTGCACTGTGTTGCGAACATGTAGGGAGGGCCAGCCTTCTCTGAGGGAGGGTGCGAACATGTAGGGCCAGCCTCGTCCACTGAAGGCGGTGAAGGTAGTCCCCAGCCCGCAAAGTTCGAAGCCTCGCGGGGAGCCCTGGCACCTCGGGAGACATGTGTCTGCCGTAGCCACGGTCTTTCTGACCGCTGGGAGTCAGGGGTTCTCCTTGGGACAGCATCTCCAAGGCACGTCCAGACGTGCTGCGAAACACCTTCAAGCGGCGCAGGTGCATCTGGCACCCACCACTTATATTTCAGCCACATATGCCATGGTCAACAGACTTCTTGATATAGTTGGTGTTGGTCCTAGCGGCCATCAGTCTCTTCATGTCACCTGGCTTGCAATCCGAAAATTGATGGTGCCAGGACGTCCCAGAAGGCTACAGAGAGATTTTGCACTCGCCGTGGCCTCAGGAGTGGGGGCGGGGGGAGGGGAGAAGACCTGAATGTCACGTGCGGGGAGTCAAACATACACGGTTGAATTTGCGCAGGATTGGTTTGGTCGAATCAGCACAAGGGGCGCACAGCCCCACTTTCGTGCGAATATCGGTAATCCCGCAATATACACGGGATAGGGTCAAACCCGAGATCACCATACATGGGGGAAAGGTTTGTGGCTTGCAGCGGGGCTGGAATACCATGCGTCATGACGCCGAAGAGGGTGTTGCGGCCTCCGCCCACGAGTTTCACTTGGAAGGTGCCTTTAGGGAAGCCCATGGCTTCGCTGGATGGCACATGGGGAGGGAGATGTCTCAACGGCGGATCGAGCCCAGAAACACGAATCTCTCCAGCCACCCCTCTCAGAAGCAAATCGGCCTTTCGAACTCAGCGAGGCTGGAGGAGCATGCGGCAGCCCTCGGCGGCGCCATCCCAGCTTGTGAAAAGGGCTGGTGTTGGCCTGGGCAAGAGGAGCTGGAATAGCTGGAATACAGGTTCACACAGATTCAGAATAACCCAGTGCCTCAAGCATCTTTGAAGCAAATCCACCCTGTTGCTTGCAACGACTGTTTCCCTGTTCTCCCTTCCTTCTCAATACAGTAAAAGCTGAAAGTTGAGGATCTGTTTCTGTTGCAAATGCCAGGCTTGCTTTTTGCTTGTTTCATTCCTTTTACATCAGAAATGCCTTGGTGAAGGGTGCTATTTCTGACTTTTCGGAATTTTCTCGAGTCGTGAGGATGATGTAAACCTAGACCATGTCCGGAGATGGGCCAGGTCAAGAACTTTCGAGGCACGCCGGAGATCGTGCGAAAGGTCCTGGGCTCGGCTTCTTCCGAACTCCGAGCTCGCGTCAAGTGGACCGTGGCAGTGCGTAGGGTAAGGAGATGGCAAGATGGCGAGTGGCAAAACGGTCCCTCGGCGCTGGGTTTGCTTTGAGGTTCGGGCTGCCGAGCTGCGTTCCAGCTACACCGACTTTGAGGCTGGGCGGGTCGTCTGGGGTCTCAGCCAAGTGGGTCTGTCTTTGTTTAGACAACCCCCCCAGTCTAGAGGCCTTTTGGTTTCGCATTAAAGCACCAAAAATTGGGTACCCTTAAAAAGGGAACCACGCCCAAGTGGAGTGCCGCAGTACATCTACCTCACCGTCCTGGGCTTGTCCCGGTTGTCCATCCACGGCGAGGCCTGCGCCTGTCTGCCGTCGAGGCCCTCAGTTTTGCCTCTTTGCAAACTGAGGCGATCATCGCCCAGAACAACGGGATGTCTTGCCCTCAGCGGGTCATATTCTTATTCTTTGAACACTGCCGGACCTCAGTTGTACGCCCCGCAGTTTTCTGCGCCGCAGAGTTGTAACATCTTGTTTGAACTCCTCGACGCCTGCCAGACGCTTCGGTTGTCTTTGCGAGTAGACGGGGGCCACACTCAGTTCGTGTGAAAGCCGGGCTACAGGGCTGCACTTTTTCTGAGGTGTTTCACGAGAAATCTCGCAGTTCAACTCTTGGAGCAGCTCTGTGGCATGACGATGCACGCTGACCGCCCGGTGGGAGCTTTGTGTGGCTGGCTGGGATCCATGTTTCCATGCGGTTGGAAAGGGTCAAGGCTTGGGTGGAGAGCAGCGCTGGCAGGCCTCGCCACTAAGAAACACTGCCTTGAGCGGGATCAGTGCGCACACATGGTGCGAATCCTTTGGCGTGACATGCATCAGGTTCATGGACTAGGTCTGCTTTGCAAAAAGCAATTCTAATTCAGATTTGCACACATGCTAGGGCAGCGAGCACCTGCTGCGGACAGCGCCGGATCTTCTTTTGCAGGCGGGGGTGGGGTGGAGAGGCCGGGCGGAGGGGGCGGTGCAGATAGACGAGTTATGTATCTGCAGGATGGGTGTGCGTGTGACTTTGGAGCGCCACTTGAAGCCTTGGGGGAATTCAGTGTGACCCCTGTTTCCTCATTTCGGAGTGATCTATGGCCTCAAAAGGAAGAGAAACTCAACCCACCCGCAAACGGGTACGCGGGCACCCTCAATAAGACACCCATATTGCTGGCTTTCAGACACAGCCGTAACAGCTGACACTGAGGCCTTTGCTCTTGCTAAGCATGGTGCCTCAGGGCACCAGATTCTCGCCGAGCGCATCACCTGCGGGTTTGATCTGGGTTTGTTTGTCCTTTCGTCTGTGTTTTGCTTGCTTGCTTGTTTGTTTGCCTCGCTTGCTTGTTTGTTTCGTCGCTTGCTTGTGTGCACGTTTTTTTGCTTGGTTGCTTGCTTGCTTGCCTGCTTGCCTGCTTGCCTGCTTGCCTGCTTGCCTGCTTGCCTGCTTGCCTGCTTGCCTGCCTGCCTGCCTGCCTGCCTGCTTGCTTGCTTGCTTGCTTGCTTGCTTGCTTGCTTGCTTGCTTGCTTGCTTCTTTTTTTTTGCCGGCTTGCTTGTTTTTTTTTTTTTTTTTTTTTTTGCCGGCTTGCTTGCTTGCCTTGCTAGCTTGCTAGCTTGCTTGCTTGCTAGTTTGTTTGTTTGTTTGATTGCTTGCTTGCTTGCTTGTTTCTTTGTTTGTTTGTTTGTTTGGTTGTTTTCTTGCTTGCTTGTTTCTTTGTTTGTTTGTTTTCTTGCTTGTTTGTTTGCTTGCTTGCTTTCTTGTTTGTTTGCCTGCTTGCTTGCTTGCCTGCTTGCCTTGCTTGCTTGCTTGCTTGCTTGCTTGCTTGCTTGCTTGCTTGCTTGCTTGCTTGCTTGCTTGCTTGCTTGCTTGCTTGCTTGCTTGCGCTTGCTTGCTTGCTTGCTTGCTTGCTTGCTTGCTAGTTTGATTGATTGATTGCTTGCTTGCTTGCTTGCTTGCTTGTTTCTTTGTTTGTTTGTTTTCTTGCTTGTTTGTTTGCTTGCTTGCTTTCTTGTTTGTTTGCCTGCTTGCTTGCTTGCCTGCTTGCCTTGCTTGCTTGCTTGCTTGCTTGCTTGCTTTCTTGCTTGCTTGCTTGCTTGCTTGCTTGCTTGCTTGCTTGCTAGTTTGATTGATTGATTGCTTGCTTGCTTGCTTGTTTCTTTGTTTGTTTGTTTGTTTGTTTGTTTGATTGGTTGTTTTCTTGCTTGCTTGTTTCTTTGTTTGTTTGTTTTCTTGCTTTTTTGTTTGCTTGCTTGGTTTCTTGTCTTTTTTGCCGGCTTGCTTTCTTTTTTTGTTTGGTTTGTTATTTTTTGCCGGCTCGCTTGCTTGCTTGCTTGCTTGCTTGCTTGCTTGCTTGCTTGCTTGCTTGCTTGCTTGCTTGCTTGCTTGCCTGCCTGCCTGCCTGCCTGCTTGCTTGCCTGCCTGCTTCCTGCTTGCCTGCTTGCCTGCTTGCCTGCTTGCCTGCTTGCCTGCTTGCCTGCTTGCCTGCTTGCCTGCTTTCTGCTTGCCTGCTTGCCTGCTTGCCTGCTTGCCTGCTTGCCTGCTTGCCTGCTTGCCTGCTTGCCAGCTTGCCAGCTTGCCAGCTTGCCTGCTTGCTTGCTTGCCTGCCTGCCTGCCTGC